CAAGGTTACAGGTGCTACCACTCCTCAGGATGTCACACAGTATACTATTACACATTCTGTAAAATCTGAATTTCGTCGCCAGTGGGATTCGAACTCTTGTCCTGCTGCTTGGGAGTGCAACAACTTGCCAACTTCACTAAGTCACCACACCCCATGCTGTAATATTCAATTCAATTTGTTCTTTATTAATAACACTTATATCATTACTCAATTCTGTATTATCATCATCGCTATTATAATCATTGTTTACAAACATCTCTTCAACTAAAAGATCTTCAAGCATTTGTGAAATAAATGAAACCTTATAAAGGTCTACCAACTCAGCAGGTAATTCTTCATTTTCTTGCATTATCATAAACTAATTAACAAAAATTTTTTAAGCTTGAATCAAAATTTAAACTAACAACCAATAATTAGTTAATTGGTTTTACATTTTTTATTTTTTATTTAAAAAAATGCCAGAAATACTATTCTCTAATTTTAATACTAAAAATACTATTCTTCTAATTTTAAATATTAAATGATTTGGCTAAAGTTATTTTATTTATTTTGAATTATGAAGTTTCATTTGTGATAAAAATATCTTTGATACAAAATTTAAAGTTGCATTCTTTAAACGATTGCAAATTATTTGCAGATAAAAAAAGAAACAAATCAGAAGTTTTTTTTTAAAAAAAAATAAAATATCCTCATTGTGGAAGGCATTCTTTTAAAAAGAACTTATAGAATAAGCTAATTTTTTAGCTGAGAATAAGTGTAAGCAATTAACATCCAAAATAAAAGTCACTAAACTTTATTAACCAATTTTTAGATTTTGATTAACGAATGTATAGCATAGCAAAACCTGATTAGCACATTTTCTAGTTAATGCAGATCATTTATAATATAATTTATACAATTAGCATTTTGTTAATATGTTCCTCAAGTCTAGCCAAATTAAATGAAATATCTCTTAGAGGGATCTCTCCTATCTCATTTTTTGGCAATTACATTAAAATTGAATTTTGCAGGCAAATTTGCCTGCTTAACATATTAAGAGATAATAAAGTTTATAAAATATGTTTTCAAGAATATATTTTATAATAAATATAGACCCAAAATCCCTTATACAAACTTAAATAAAAATTTATGCACAACAAAATTGCTAATATCTCAACAATTTATTAAGTAAACAGACCTTTATGCTCTAAGTAAAATTGTCTCTCTCATAATTTTACATATATTACAGAAGTTTCAAGTTTCTAGCTTAAAAACTTGTAGTTTAAACTTACAAAAACATCTTTTGGTTTTCCAAACCAAACTTCTGCTTATTTAGCAAAAACTGCTTTTACAACTTTTCTGCTCCCTAAAAGAAAGTTGTAGAGCTTATTCTTCTGGTCAAAACAAGCTTTAAATAAAGTTTTTTAACCTAATATTGACTGAGTTACAATATTGCTTCTTTTTAAACTTTTTGCAAAAATTTTTTGTCTTTACCCCAACTTTTTCACTCTAATTCGTTTTCTATGTAACCTCAAATCATTTCTAAAAATAGTTCTAATTAAATTTATCTTGTGTAAATTAATATTTTCTTAAACAGTACTATCTTTCTACTACAAATTTATTGGTTCTTTTATTTAATACAAACTTTACATTATTACACAACACTTTACACAACATGTAACTAATTTTTGTATTACACTAGCTACATTAGCCATACCAGCCACATTAGCCATATCTGTATTACCTTAGAATACCTAGATTATACAGGTTACAAGCCACAGCAGCTGCAGTAATACTACTGAAAACACACTACCTTTGTTAAAACACTAGTTTAGCTTTTAAGTTAAATAACTCAAAACTTTACTAAGTAAAGTGAACTTGTTTTCTTAAGCAAACACGAAACTACTATCTTATATTATCTACCAAATACTCCACACACCAAGTTACACAATGTCTATTCTCGTAGCTCAAACTCCAGATATCTTAGATCTTGACTTTTTTTACGATAATTATGTTAAAGCTTTCAGTATAACAATCTTTGAAGAAGAGCCTAATCAAATTAAAGCTATTCTTACCCAATTTTGCCCAACTACCTGCTTTACAAGAAATTTAAAAAACATCCAATTATACACTTTTTCCCTGTACTATCATTTACCAAAATCATTATATGCCTATATGATAGCTTTTATATAAATTTTATATCTGACAGAAACCAAACCTATAATGTCCAAATAACTTCAAACCTTACAACATCCAATACACAAACCAAAAAACTTAATCAAGCCTTACAACAATCAACACAATTAGTTTCAGTTTCTCCATTTTCTACTCTTAAAAAACATATATGTTCCAAATGCTAGATGATAATAAATTGCCAAAATATCAATAATATTCATCATGAAGCATACTATATTAACTGTCTCTAACAACTTCAAAAAGAGTCAAACCAAAACAAATTACCTACCCAAACCACCAACCCTCTTAATACACTACTTCCTCTTACAACAACATCTAATAATACACAAACAGCTGCAATAGAAACAGACAAACCTGTAACTCCTCCTCCTTCTTTTCTACAAGCCTTTTATTTACAACCCAACTTAATATACAACAATCCTCCAACCATCAAGATTCTGAATAATCCAAATCTAGTAGTCAACAAACTTCTAATCTCAAATCCAAACCTAACCCAACTTTTGACTAGCTAGCTAACTTTCCAATTACTAACAGTATAAAAAAAATACTAAACTTCAAACTACACTTTCTCATCAACTCTTTAGTTTCTTCAAAAAACATCTTTATAATTTCTTTTCTGAAAAAGAGATTAAACCTGTTAGAAAAAACTAATAAGGACAAACAATTAGACCTGCACTAAAAGCCAACTTTCAATACCTTATTCGAACAATAACTGAAGAAAAACCAAGTTCCTTACAGACCTTATTTATAAAGAAAATTCTACTATAACATCGGAGGCTCCTATTCCCTTTATATTTCTCAAACTATCTCTTAGAAATCTTATACTCAAATTCACCACTATTCTATTCACAAAACTCAACTACGTAAAAATCTTTGCATCTGCTACATCCATTCCATCTTATAAACCAAAAAACAGATTACAACTATGCCTCAATTTAGCATGCCTACACCTATATTTATCTAACAAATATCAAACTATTAACCACACTAAATTTGCTAAAGATTTTAACTTCAGACCCAAACATTTTAAAGTTACCTCACATATTGACTCTACTGATGAAAATAACACTATTTTTTCCTTTAAAACTGACCAAAAATTTAATATCTCTATTCTCTTTAACCTACCCAAAACCTCTTTTCTTAAACTATTTAATATCTTTTCACTTAAAGACTTTTATACTGATTTAGACAAATAGTTTGAATCTGCTTTTTCTCTTTATTGTAGACAATTTTCTACAAATCTCAACAAAGATGAAACACTTAAACGTATTAAATCACAAATTCGCAGAAAACTTATACTTCATCTGTCTAAATTTTTTTCTGAGAAATATGACTTCTACCAATCCAAAACTAGTTATGAGTGAAAACTTCTCTCATCAAAACTTACAAACTTCCATCTCTTAACTTGTATTGACAAGGATTGTGCCTTCAGAAACAAGAAAAAAATCTTCCTTTATGACAAAAACCTACTCTACAAAACTATTCTCGAATAATCATACAAGGCTTTTTCCAAAAAACCTTCTGAGAATGAACCATCCTTGAAACTTTCATCACTAAATATCTCAATCTTTCATATTAAAAGCAAACTTAAGACTACCTTCACTAAACCAATATCTACCAAGTTAATAGATTAACTAGCAACAAATTACAAGAACAAATATACAAACTTAATAATACTAAAACCAATTCTAAATAACATAGATTCTTTTCTATTAGTACTTAACAGAGTACCACTGAACTGCAGTCCAAAATCACAATATACTTAATAAAAACAAACAAGAGGCTATTAAATTTTTTACCAAAAACCCTATTAATATTGACTTTCTAGCCAGAGTCATTATATACTATGATCTTATTTAAAAATCAAAAAACACCTTTTAGCCTTATTATCAGACACTTCAGATAAGCCTCCAAATCTGAAGCAGAAAAATACCTATTCAATAAATTCAAAATCAATTTTCAACCGGTTGAACTTGAGGATTTACTTTTTCTCGAGTTATTATCTTCTTTTTAATAAACGTATCTTTTACAATCAATATAGATGCAGCTAACACTTTACTAAAAGAAACACACATTATATTTAGTAAAGAGAATGATATAAGTAAGCAGTTGGTAAAGTCTATTTATCTGAAGGCTTGTAATAATGACGATCAGACCCAATATACAAGGCAGGCTACAAGTTCTTTGGAAACTGTAAGAACCAGGTATACAGTGAGTGACTATATAAAAGATACTAATCTGGCAAGTTTGTGACTAACATCTTTAGAATTCTACAACTTGTCTATATGCTACAACAAATTCTTACAATTTTATAAACTATTAATAATAATGACTGAAACTACAATTGTATCATTTATCTAACATCTACAACAAAATATATTAGAAAATTTTAAACTGGACCTAAGATTTTCTATACACAACTCATATTATGAAGCATATATATATCTACCCAATGAATCAAACATACTTCATAACCATATTCAATTAACTATTAAGACAATTAAAGAATTTTTACAAACCTCACTTAAATCATATACTACTATATATTCTGCTTCTTAACTCATCTGTTTAATGCACCAAACATTGATAATAATTTATTTCTAGATAATGAAATAGAACCAACATCAGGAAATTTTTTAAATAGATAGAAATCAATGTATATTGCAATAAATGTTTTATATTGATTTAAATTAAATATTACACATTAATTAACCTGTTTTAAATCGATATATATCAAAAATCGATTAATAATGAAAATAGATAATAAATCAATGTAGATCAAATTATCGATTATTATTGAAGTCAAAATCACAATATATCGATTATTGCATTATTAATCAATCAATAGCATATATATTAATTGATAGAACTTTGATTTAGATATACACTTTAAATATTAGAACATAAACCTGTTCACAAAATATTCATTTGTTTTTTTAAATCTTGCAACTATATGTACAGTTCTATTTATACTTTTAATAGGTATACAACTGTATTGTTTAATTAATTTTAATTTCGGACATTCTCACAATTCACTATTTACTTCATACCAACAAACAAGAACGAGTTCTAACAGATCTTTGTCTATCACTTGGTGAAATTTGAGTATTAACAGGATCTTATAAATAATATTTTTTTTATTTGTATTAGTATATATTACTTACGAAGTTAGCA